ATAAATAAAGTAGGGTTTTTCTTTCATACAATAATTTTACTTCACATTTTTATTGAAAATTTTTTATCTATTTTAAATTTTATTTGAAAAATGTGAGGGAACATTAATTAATTTTTTAGATAGCAAACAATTATTTTTTTTTAGTTGCGTGAACATATGAGAATGTTAATTATAACTTTTTTTAATTATAGAAAAAAACTTGATGTTATATTTTTACGATAAACTACTGGTTTACATAATTATATATTTTATTATTAGCATACCACCTTAGTTTGCTAATATTAAAATTTTATTTTTTTTGTACTTAGAAGGGAGAATATTTTTAAATTTAATTATTTCTAAGCATGGTGTGCTCTGTATAATATATATAGAGTAACTTCAGAAACAAAGTTGTAGGATCTGTTTGAGAAACACTGTTCTGTGGAATGTGCGCCGACTTGGCAAAACGAAAAATTCGTCTGCACTCAAACTAGTTTACGACCTCCATTGCCGATATTGCGGCAAGATTGTGCCAAAGGTAGTACGAACGAAATATTAACCAAAACGGGTATTGAAAACACACAAAGTCTCAAAATCGGTTTTACATAACAGCATTACTCGTGTAAATTTTAATATTAAAATCTTTTTACTTATGAATTATTCATAATTATTATAAAATTCTGGTGATTTCGTTGAACACCCGTTTTTATTTGCTTTGTTCTTATAAACATTAAAATACATTTCGCAGGAATTTTGCGACAAAGTATCTAAAAATAAAATTTTTAGTGAAGGATACGATTACTCCTCCTTAATAGGATTACTCCTCCTTTAATTATTTTAATTATTTTTGTAGAGAATTAAAATTTGATGAGTTGTTATTTATCTTATCTTGTACTTATCTATTTAAGCTTATAAATTTACACTGAATTTTAGCAAGAAACACGCGAAAAATCTCATTGCAAAAAAGATTGAAAAAGGAAGAAATTGAAACAGGAAATACTCCGAATTCTTTAATTGATTTGACTTCTTGAAGGAGCGCAATATATAGAGAAACGAGGAAGATAGCTTGGTAAACGGCTGTTTTAGAGAGGACCACCACTTCTTTGGAGATCACACTCGTGGAAGTAAAAGTAAACGCGGTACTTTGCACGTAATACCATTATCGGCAATGCCACATTCAAGCCACAGTCAGACAGTGAAGGTAGACAGAGAGGATGATAATTGACTGAAAGGTTTCTTTTTGATTGAATCGAATGTGCGAGTGATAACAAACGGTGCGCAATTATAAGAACCAGGCTAATTAGAATCAAGCGGACTCATTTTAATAATGATAATGAATGGCATGCGAACGAGACGAATGCTCATTGAAAAGAATCACGGACTCGCGAGTCATAAAAAATAAACACCGCTTTGTTAAAAAAAACGGTAAATTTCTTTCAATGAGAAATGATGTTTTTCGAGTGAAAAGCATAAAATTAATATCTCGGTGTATACAAAACAAGAGAGAAGGTTTATAAGAGAGATGAAAAAAGTTTTTAATATTCTCATTATTGAAGGGTATTATGCTGATATTACTCGCGTAATGACGTAAATGAATAATTTGTGAAAGTCTTTCTTTGTACATAGTTTCTATAAAAATAGAATTTGTAGAACACATAAATTTTCGGAGAATATTTATATTTATTCTAATTACAGGTAGAAAAATTATTTAAACATGACCGAAGAGTTGTAAAAAATGATAGTGAGATATTTGCCGAGAGAAGTAATTGACGGAAAAAGTTTGTGAACTATTCTATATTGTTTGAATTATTATTAAATTAATCCTTTTATACACGATAAAATTTCATGTGCAGTGAAATCTTAGCAGGTGATCTTAGCACGACGTGAATATCTTAAAAACTCAACAAGCCGACATCGTAAATCATACATATAAGGGGTATCAATTAATTTTCCTCGCGCGATTCAACGGCCTATCCAAAGGTAAACCGCGGAAATTCACTCTGGTACCGATAAAACGTTGCATTGTAAGGATGTTATCGGAAAATCGAATGTTTCTTTCGTATAATAGCGCTCGTGGTCGTCGTGAGCATTCGGCCGCAACTCCACTCACACGCATGCACATTAATAGCGTATCGAGAAATCGCTCGTTGTACGAAGATATATTAGAAATTTTACGAGCGCGACTAGGAATGCGCTGCGCCGCTATAGACTGCGATATTTATTGTGTCCTATTATTGCTGCCTTCGCACACCGGCGTATAGGGCAGTTGTCGGTTGTATGCCGTGTGTAGCACAAGTGCTCAAGTATCCCCCGGCATTTTTCATGCCGCTTAACTCGGTGTGTTATTCCGGCTGAACGCCTTATCATCCGTATCACATAATCTTCTAATGTCGCATCTTATGTTAGAAGTGCACAAAAAAACGTGTACACGCGTTATACACTTCTTTCTTGTTGATTTTTACTCTACTCCGTATTTTTGAAACAACCACCACACATTATTTAGAATGTTTCGTATAAATAAATTTTTTATTTTAATAGACGTTTTACTCGATGCTTGATTTCCAAAGTGTTTGGAAAATAAAAATTTTATCGGCAATGACGGTATCGCATTCAATCGCCCATTTATACAATATACTTGATGAAAGCGCGGTAATTAAATTGCCTATAAATTAAAAAACATCAATACATATAAAAAAAATTTAATTAATTTGTTGACATTTCTACGTATGTTTACAATTATTTTAATTCAGTTATTGAGAATCAAATATTTAAGCTTAATTAGTTATAACTCTATTTTAAATGTACCTAATAATTGAGAAACTTGTTTTCCTTTAATTTTCCATATTTTAATTAAATTTCAGCGTATGCTTTATGTAACTCATTTTTGTCGAGGTTTTATATCATGTCGTTTCTGACAGGTTCTCGTCGATAGAGTCACGTTTCATCGACGCATAATAAATGGAAAGGTTCGCGTTCTTTAATGCGACAGTGAGCTAAACGTCGAACCGTAAATCGTTTCCCCACTCTATATAGGAAAAGCGTATCCGGTGCCGTCAAGGCGCTCGCTCATAAATCACGCCGTGCGCACTTGCGAGCTGAAATCGGGAAAAAAAAAGAAAAAAAATATATATATATATATATATATATATCGGACGAAGGTAAAATCGCCTGGTCCACCATTGCGCGTTTGCCGATATCGATTATATAAAAGGTATAGCATTTTGAAGATGTATGTATTCGTTCAAATTAATTGCGAGTCCTTTAATCGATAAAAAATCTATTTTCAGAATGCTGAAAATTGTCGTACAAATATAATTATCGTAAACATTAATACATCTTTTAATGCATCTTTGTCGTTATCGTATGATGTATCGTATCGTATCATTGTAGGATTAATAAATTTATACTATGGATATCGATCACTTTACGGTCAATCCTCCCGGCTAGGGTCGCGACGACCGTTTTGGTCATCGACGAGAGTCGGGAATAAATGAAATTACGTCCCTTGCAGCGCTGGCGCCTTGGCTCGATAACGTCCAGTAGCTCGCGCCGATCAAATTTAATTTTGATAAAGAAGATTTATAAATATGGGATCGCGCGCCGCCGATTGGGCGCGCGGCATTGGTTTTTATTTTTCCGGAAATACAAAATCCAATTCTCGATAAGACCAGCTTACGTAGGAACTGCCCACCTCGCTCTTTCATTCCCTTCTATTTCCCGACTATTTCTCATATCGTGCGATCGCGGCACTACCATATCTCTTGCTAGCTGCGTTTGAGAACATTATTCTAGAAAAGCGATGGTGATCCGAATTTTGATCGATTTAGACATGGGACGCGTGTGCCACTTGATTCAGATTTTTTTTTTACATGCGCATGTGAAATCATGCGTAAATTTTACAGCTGAGGTAAATCTAGTTTGTAAAATTTTCTGAAAATTAATTTTTACGGTATAATTAAATATTATTATACCGTGATAATATTTAATTGCTTTAGATTTTTAGAAATAAAATTTTCTTTTTTCTTTTGGGAATAGTATTGGGAATAGTATTGTATATATATATAAAGATCTTATAATATAAATTTGAAATTTATTTTATATACTTTCTAGAAAAAGCTTAATTTTTAATTTTCAAGTTTTTAAGAAGCTTTATTTTTTACTTTTTAAATTTTTACTTGAGAAAATTTTGGAGAAAGAATTTTTGAAAAAAAAACTGAACAAATATTAATGCGTTACATTTGCGCACGCACAAATTTAAAGTTGCACCTGAACATGCGTGATCTCGATATTAATTATTTTAATTATGCACATTACTAGCACATATGTAATCACAGGAATATTTTCATAATTTCATAAAACTTCTAGAAAGTGCTTTGTTCTCCGGTGATGCAATACGCATATGATATTTTAATTAAAATGTTGGGTAAACAAATGTTAATATAAATCAAATAGTTGACATCTAAAGTAAAATATGTGCGAACATTTTCTACGTTTGCTTATAATATATGTATTTGCGTGAGATTGTAAAATAATTATAATAAATTTATTATGACGAATCAAATACGCATGACGTGATAAGTTGATAAATAATAATTATAATTTTATTTCTGTTTTGAATTGCATTGGTTACGCCAATATATATATATATGTATATTTATGGGTCGTATTGATTTATCTTTATGTATCTATAATTGTTTTTATCGAATTTACATTATATATTATTAAATACGTGTTATTTAACCCTGTTATTATCGGGCGCATCTGTGTGTACGAATTTTACGATAATATTTTAAATATAAGATATAAGCACTGACAGTATTTTGAACTTTATTGACAATTATTATTATTATTTTTGAATTGTGGAATGAAATTTATCTATGAAACAAAGTATCTCAATTATTCTAATGTCTACAAATGTTAACTGCACACGTGACGAATGTAATTATATTCGCTGCATAATTTTCATAAACGACAAAGGGACAAGTTCTTCACTAACGCCGATGTGTTCGATTCTTTTGCAGGATCTTATGACGAAGAACAAGCAGCGATATCGATGGCGTTTGCTGATCTGCGGCATTGTCATCATAGTCGTGCTGGCTTTGGTGATCGCGGCGGCGATTCTTCTGACCGGCAGGCCGGAATCCGCTGCATCCAGAACAAACAGCGCACCAGGTATTTCTCTGGAGGAATGGCTCTTCGGTTCGTTATCTCCCAAGAGCTTCAACGGCACGTGGATCAGCGGTAAGTACTACGTCTTTGTTTTTTTTGTCACGCGCGGCGCAAATTCCTTTCGACTTTTCATGTTGCGTGAAAAGCACTCCACAACTGCATCCGCTGCAGGCTTTATTTCCCGCGGATTCGACTTTTTGAAATGAGTTTTTCTTCGACACCGCGCCCTCGTAGGCTAATTAATCCATTATTTAAGAGGATTGAAACGCATCGCGCGAATAATGCACAGTTTAATGCGTTGAACGCGGCCGGGTATATGGAGGAAGTTCGCTTTTAACGGGCGTTGCACTCTTTTAGATGGGTTCATTTCCTGCGTGAAATGAAATGCGTATCGAAAAATGTAAATTAAACGCCAAGTTATGAAATGAGATTATGGGAATGTAAAAATACAGATCACCTATATTTTAAGCTGCAGAAATATTTTTAACCATTTGTATAGCGCAGGGATCAACGTTAAGCGTATATTATAATTTTTAACATTATATCGATAAAAAACAAAAAATGGACAGTTTTAAGAATAATCGAACATTTTAATAGTTGAATTTTTGATAGGCAATTACGCGCGATGGAAAAAAAATTTAACATAAAGAACTCGATTCGTCATTTTACTTTATTTTGAACGCTTTTAATTTTACGATTTAAGCGCAATCGTTTTTTTAAATCGATAAACATTAACAATCGGGTGGACGACGACTTAACGGTGCAAACACATGAAACCACTCGATTACCGAAATTAAATGAGGGATTTGAACGTGAAACTCGTTTCCTGATGCGTACTTTAACGGCAGTTATTGCATTTTGCGTCCGTACTGCACAAATTTCTTTCTCAAGCACTTTTTCACTTGGTCATTTTTGTATTACATCGGTTTCCTCATGTATTCCAAGCGGAT